GGCCCCTCACTTCGGAGGAGGACAGCTGTCGAAGCTCCGACGACGTAATGCTCATGCGGCTTTCTCTTCCTCGGCCCTCGTTCCCTCCAGCCGTGGGCGGCCCCTGGCGGCCCCGTGGTGGCCTCCTGGAAGTCTTCCGGCGTCCTCTGGCGGTACTGGGTTCCTCCACCTCTTCCTTCCCCCATTCCTCCTCCCCCTCCTCCTCCTCCTCCTCCTCCTCCTCCTCCTCCTCCTCCTCCTCCTCCTCCTCCTCCTCCTCCTCCTCCTCCTCCTCCTCCTCCTCCTCCTCCTCCTCCCCCTCCTTTCCCATTTCTCCTCCTCCTCCTCCCCCTCCTCCTCTGGGCGCGAAAGCTGGACGGCCGCGCTCAACGAGGGGCTCTTGGTCGAACACCTGCATGGACTGCCCAGGAGCTGCTCGAACACCTTCAGCGGAACGCGCCTGCTCGATGCAGAAGGACTCCAGGCCTGCCCCAGGAGCCTCGCTGAAGCACGTGTCGGCAAACGCTTCCAACGTAGAAAAAGAAGCTTCATAAAGATTGCAACAGAAGCAGCAGCGCGGACTGAGAACTCGCCGCAGCAATGTCCCGGCGGAGACCCGCGGGCAACGCGCGCTCCTCCTCCAATCCTCTTCCTGATAAATAACTCGTCCCTGTCGCACCCCGAGGCCAGTCGAAAGGGCGGGCGCGGCGTGTCGCCTGAGTTCCCCTTACCATTTATGATCCTGAAGCAAAAAGAAAAATGAGGGCGGGTGGTCCCGCGAACACTTGCCTTAAAAAACTGCACGAGCCCCACCAGCCCTCTGGGCGTCGGTGGTCTAGAGAGTTTCCTCTTCCAACCCCCTTTTTCCCCTTCGGGGAGGGGTTTACCCCTCCCCCTACCCCCTCCCCTGGACCTGGACGGGGGCCGCGGGTCGCTGGGGCGTCCAAGATGGCCCAAGACGGCTCCAAGAGCGAAAAGGCGGGAAAGCAAAAAAACATTGATTTCCGTAGGTTTTGGAAGGATTTAGGCCTCTTTGGGGGCCCAAGAGGCACTCTAGAGGGGCAACGCTAATTCCCCCTCCCCCCCTTCTTTGGTAGATCTCCTCCAACATGGCCCCAAGAGCGCCCCGAAGGCTCCCAAGAGCAAGAGCGCCCCAAGAGGGCCCCAAGAGGCCCCAAGATGCGCCCAAGAGGCCTCCAAGAGGCCCCCAAGAGACCCCAAGAGGCCCCAACAGGCTCCCCGAGATGCGCAAGAGGCCCCCAGGACCGCCAACAGGCCCCAAAGACGGCCCAAGAGGCCCCCAAACTCGCCATTGTCCTCCTCCTCCTCCTCCTCCTCCTCCTCCTCCTCCTCCTCCTCCTCCTCTTCTTCCTCCTCCTCCTCCCCCTCCTCTCCTCCTCCTCCTCCTCTCCTATTATTATTATTAATTATTATTATTATGATTATTAATATTATATCAATTATTATTATTAAATTATTATATTATTATTATTATTATTATTATTATTATTATTATTATTATTATTATTATTATTATTATGATTATTAGTAGTATTATTATTATTAGTATTATTATTATTATTATCAATAGTATTATTATTATTAATATTATTAATATTACTACTATTATTATTATGATTATTATTATTAGTATTATTATTAGTATTAGTATTACTATTAGTATTATTATTATTATTAGTATTATTCTTGGTATTATTATTATTCTTAGTATTATTATTATTATACATATTATTAGTATTATTAGTATTATTATTAGTATTATTATTATGATTAGTATTATTATTATTACTAGTAGCATTATTATTATTAATATTATTATTATCATGATTATTATGAATATTATTATTATTGTTATTATTATTATTAGTACTAGTATTGGTATTATTATTATTCTCTTGCACAGGGTGTCTAGAGCTCCGACCACTTTATTTCGGCACCGCACCCCCTCCCCCCCCCCTTCATCATCATCATCATCATCATCATCATCATCAGCAGCACCATCATCCTCACCAGCATCACCATCATAATCACCATCAGCATCATCATCATCCACATCATCATCATCATGCGCCCCCTCCGTCTCAGCGCCTTCCCGCGGCTCCAGCGCCCGCCCAGCGCCCCCTCCGCCCCGACCACTTCATTTCGGCACCGCACCCCCCCCCCCCGGCCCCGCACCCTCCCCCGCGCCATCTCAGCGCCCCCCCGCGGCCCCAGCGCCCGCCCAGTGCCCCCTCCGCCTCGACCACTGTATTTCGGCATCGCACCCCCCCCCCGCTCCGCCCCCTCCCCCGCGCCGTCTCAGCGCCC